TTGCATTGTACTATTTTAATAGAAGCCACGGCTTCTAATACAGATTTTACAGTACTACACATGAAAGTCTTGTATAACTGCGTAACTGTTTTGTACTGAACATTTAATAGTTAATAAGATGTGCATAAAATATGGAACCCTTATTTTTATTTATACACACACACACATGTAATATAATTTATATTAGTAATATATATTATTATCCATACCTACGGTACGTCAGAGATACTAAATTGACCAGATAAACAAACCAACCAGGGAACTAAAAACTGTGTGTTCATCAAGTATACTATTCACCAGTGTTGAAATACAGATACTCGCACCATCTTACATGTATAATCCTAGTGTACAGACACGTATGCACTAAAAAATGACACTCAATTATTTGTTTTTAACCATGGTTGCTATTTATATTTAGTTGGACAGGTGTATCTACATGGAGATGGGTGGCTAATGATGATAACTGTGGTATCTGCAGAATGCCATTTGATGGCTGCTGTCCAGATTGTAAAATACCAGGAGATGACTGCCCTTTAGGTACGTCTGTATACATAACGCATATTTCAGCTTTCACCTTATCATGTGATTCATGTCAAGTATTTTCACTGTTTTTAAATAGTTGTTTGATTCCTAAAAACAATACATAAACACGAAGGATAAAATGGCAGGTCTAACAGTGATGTCTTGTAATTTATTTCAAAGGATACTAAAATTTATTTTTGAAATATAGATCAGTGACATTGTTTTCATATGCACAGATAGCTCACTATAAGCCCAGTGTTCATAGCTCTATAATAGAATAGCAATACAAATGATACCTGGTTCCAAATTACCTTCATATACCGGTATTTGTGTTATTTTATGCATGTTATATGATTTCACATCGACTGATGTTTACACAAAAATGTCAATCTTTTGGGGATGTATCTCTGAACTTGATCTCTTGTTGTGAGAATGCACTAAAAACCTTTTTTTTTTCTTGCAGTATGGGGGCAGTGTTCCCATGTATTTCATATGCATTGTATACTTAAATGGTTGAACTCACAACAAGTCCATCAGCAATGTCCCATGTGTAGACAAGAATGGAAGTTCAAGGAATAGTGCAGCAGGGAGACATCAGAAACTTTTTGCTTTTCCAGGAAATACCAACTGCGTGAAGCCATAATGACTAACTTATAGAATAGTGTTGGTGCATGTATAATGACAGTTTTGCATAATATTAAAACTAAGAATGTTTTAAGCAAAACAGTTGGAGACTATAGTCCATACCCATGCTGTTGAAGATGTCAGTGTGGGGTTACTTGTTTAAGATTGCACTATTTTTATCATGCAATAGATACTGTATCTACATCCCATGATGGGTAAAGCCATTTTTTAGATGCTTGTAATAAATAACACAATTGACTAAATAGTGCTGACTGCTAATTATATTGTGCTTAGGATTTATTTTCACTGTTTAGGGCAACATTTTCTCTATCGTTATGTATTATTTATAATTTTTTTGATTTGTTGATGTATCAACCTTGTATATGGCAGAGGAGGGGGTATTCTTCAGATTATATTTAAGTTGTATACTTTATGTAAATGTCATTTCATTCCATGTATTTTACATACAGTTGTGTACTGTTATTTTTTTTATGTAATATAAACTTTAATTTTTTGTATGGTAAATATTTTATTGAATGGCAGAAATATGAATGTATATCTGTACATGTAACCCAATATGTATTGTCATCGTATCACCAGTAATTCCAGTCACCTCCAAAAACATTTTATGGGTGTGATTTTGCGCAACTGCTAGCTGTATCTACAATTACTATATGCAGATTTCAGGGAACATTTCATTTGGCTAAGGTTCAAATAAAGCTTTGAATCTTAATGACTGCTTATTTACATAACCATTCCAAGGTTTGAACACATGTGGGTGCAGTTGTTTTTAATATGATTGAACTCGGCCTAGTTCAAATTTCAGAAATTTGTAAATTTACGAGAAGCATACATAACTTGCAGTAATACATGAAAGGCAAAGCTTGTAGAACATGCAGAAATACACTAAATATTCGTCCATTGGAGCCTGATGATCATGAAATATCAAGTAAGCCCCGTCGTACTTTGCAAAATCGTTGCATGTACAGTTGATTTTCTTTTGCATTTTTTTTCAAAAAGTACCAGGAATTGAAAAAAAAAACACCAATAATTATGTGTGCATGTCGTATACTGGTACTTATGTGTTACAAACTATATGTAACAAGAGTTCTCTGTAAATTTTCTACTGTGATAAAAACATACTATGATCTGTTTTCTATTTTCATTATGTTACCATTATAGTTTCATTACAATAAATGTGCTAAATAATTGGCAACTTGTTTCATAGGCAAGATTAGAATATGGTCCAACATAGGAACATTTGTTAACCACTCTCCAGCGATCCTCTAGCATTTTGTTTTCATGAACTTGCTTCTACTTCCTTAGTTATGCGCCGATTTAAGGAGAGCAAACCCAGTTAAAATACCCATGTCAGGAGATAGTAGTATACCCTCAGTACAAATCAATACACCTGGTCTTCCGGTAGGATACTTTAAATGACAGTGGCATATGTTTGTCTATTTGGACAGAACTCGGCCAGAGAAGAGTTTGAAAAAAACAGCTGCCATACAAGTTATCCAGAAAGTAAAGATTTGATACATGTGGGGATGAAACTCAAAATAGATCACTCATGAAAAAGTCAACAATCCAAGTCGTAAACGCAATATTGTCAAATGTATATTCCTGGTGATACTGATTTAGTTTACATTTGGGGGCTAGAAAACAATTTAAAGAATCAGTTCGTGCCACATTAAATCTTTATTTTTGGGGTTCATAGTTGTAAAGTCTCACTCAGTTTTCTGCATGTTCCGTCTGCGTGTTGCAATTTCACAAGTAACTTGAAAATGTCAGGTATGGGGTTAACTGACTGTCTCTAGATAAACGCATGTTTACGAATTTCATTTTCCTTCTATTCACTAATTAGGATAATTCTGTGTTTTGGCGTTGAACATACATGTATATAAACATGGCCATTCGTAGGTCATTATCATTCATATATCTCCTGAAAATAAGTGTGGCAGACTAAACGAACAGTGAATGCGCCAAGCAGGTTTCAAAAAGAAATTATAATTTCCATACGATGAACAGTTTTGTGGAAAGTCATGGAAAGCAATGTCTGAAAATCGGGGATATTTTGCCAGATGTTTTTCTTGATTGTACTGGAAGGACACTAGGAACATTGCAATACCAGATAACCATTTTATATGCCTGTAGGTTCAAATCTGGAAATAATACGCTTCCCACAGGATGCTAATCAGATACATACAATGTATTAATTCAATCCTACTCCAAGCACTGAACACCACAGTCATCCAGGTACTTTGTTATGTTCTGGCAAAACCTGACAGCTCAAAAGTCGGGAATTAAAACAATGTCATCAGTATACAAGCCATCAGTAACTTTATTACTGGTACCGGTAGTTATAACAATGACAGCCATCAGTAAGTTCAATGTTCTCCTCAGAGCTTTTAGTGGCCATTATATGCTTAGATTTGTGTTTAAAAAATGAATAAATTAACAAGACAAAATAAACATCTCTTCTATATACAAAATAGACACAGCACATGAGCACTTTGCTGGGAAGAACACTGTACATGTTATGGCATCGTTACTGGTATTATGGATACTAATAAATTTACAAATCATGAAATATATTCCTAATTTACGAGTGATAGACCCGAATATTAACCTGCAATCAGGGTTTCATCAAACACGATGGTAGACTCGAAATTTGAATTTTGTCACATGGATTGCTCAAAGTTGACAACTTAGATATCTATGTATGGTGGTATGCGATAAAGATTCTATTCCATATGCACATAAAATAGCTGTATTCCGAACCAATAGCATCGCAGATTGCAATGGGAAGATTTGAATACACAAATGAAGATTATCAACATATTCAAAACATGCTGTGCTAACACGACCCCAGATGAACACAAACCAGTTTTTTCAGACTCACTAAAGATTTGAGGATTTTATGGCATTCATAAACACTAAATTTGAGAAAGTCACTGACACTCTGTGTTCTATAGCCCCAGAGAAATTGGCACTGGAATTCATAAAATTTGTCTCTATTGAAAATAATTTTGTTTATCCAGTAATTTTTTGATGATTTTGAATTCATATTGGAGTTGTTATCGCACACAAGCATTTCACGAAAGCATGAATTTGTTTTGGATATTTATAAATACATGCATTTATAAAACATTTAGCCTGAAAGATCCTTGCGCTTCATTTAAATGAGAGATGCTGCTTTTATTGGAAATAGAAACCATTTGGTAATGACCATTACCCACAAGTCTTTGCAAGGTTTCTTCAATCATTGGTCAACTTACTGTCATGAACACAGTAACAAAAATTCCATCAAATCTGTTTAAATTGCTTGAAGTTAGTTATTTCTTCTGTGAAATAAATTTACAATGTACAAGTAGATCAATTATTGTTTAGCATTAGATTGCAAAAGCGAGCGAATGTTAAAGGTTAATTGACCTCAGCAGAGTTCAATATTAGGCAGGCTTGTGATTGGTCAAGTTGTTTTCAATTGCCAATTGAAATTTAAAATATTTAAAATTTTTATATAAAACAAATTCATGCCTTCATGAAATCTGGTGTGTCACACCAGTTGCATATTTTTTATTATATAAATAATTGTCAGCAACACGGTTACTAAAAAGTAACCGTGTCATCAATAATATCTCTTTTGTATGTTAAATAGTTTTACAAAAGATTTAAATCAATTTAGTTGACTGACTGAATTATGTTAAAAGTGCAACATTCATAAATCCTTGCATTTCGGAAAGAGTGTCTTTTGTAAACCCCCCTAACCCCCAATTCAATTGTATATTCCCCTTCCAGATAACTATACGTGTCCTTAGAAAGGGCATAGATTTTGAGAGTGGCAGGTGTTAAGAAACTCTATTATGCTTCAACTAAAAAAAAACATGTTTCAATATCGCATTTAAATTGAGTCTATAGTAGTGGCAAATTCAATATGTATAGACCAATAATATCAATAAACCATAAATAAATTATAAATGATCTAAAACCATGATTATCTAAATAATTTGACACATAATTATTATTCCATAGACTCGTCATCATCAAGTCCCCGTTTCACTCCAGACATTCCACTGGCACAGTTCAAGACTAAGGAATCTTCTTCTAAAGAGCCAGTCATCAGTCTTGCCTGGTATATCGCTTCATACTCCATGAGTTGGTGAACAAATCCTTCATTTGGATTTATACAAAATCTTCTTTGTTGTACGTATCTGAAGGCGTCCCTGTATGTCAGACCGTACGTCTCCATTACGTAAGCTATTACCAGCGCTGCACTTCTGGAAATGCCGGCATTCCCGTGTACGAGCACCCTCCCGCCAAGGTTAAAACAGTTGTCAATGAACTCTTTCGCCAGAACAAAATGTTTTATTATATTTTCAGTTGGCTTGTCTGCAACGTCAAGTACCAAGTAAATAAAATCGTCTGAAAAATTCGGCTTTATGAAATTTGCTTCGATCTGTTGCCTAACGCACACAATGTGGGTGATGTGCATATCTTTCAATGCCTGCTTTTTACTTTTCATGGCTGCCGCATAAGGTCCCAGGAAGAGGCCTGTAGTGATTTCTTGCATTTCTCGCCGCATGGTGTACGCCCACTCCAGTGATTCTTCCTCTTCCCCTGGTAGAACGGGAAATCGAAGTCCACCCATTGCAAAATGGAAGTCTGATGACATATTAGTTTATGTAAAAAATGACATTACCTCACATGTTTTATAAATTCTATGATCTAATAGAACGCCGGCACCGAGTGTCAAGATACGACCTTTCACACGTACCTCTTAGCTTAGTAACTATGAAACTTCAAATTTCTGTCTCGCAATTGTAAGAGTATTGTCATATAATTTGTTATGCATTTAACTAATGTATGGTAATTTATTTTAATTCTGAACAAACTAAGTAAAATACATTGTGTCTATAATGAAATAAAAATGACTTTTCAGATTATAAATCGTACATCGTTAGGGAGTCCATGGGACAGACTAGAAGTGACGTAATTTCTCGAGTGACCAATCAGACGTGCTTATTTCCCGCCGTGTTGCGGCATGTTTTGAAACATCAACATGTCAGCTGAAAATATCACAGAAGTCCTATTGTTGAGTCAGACTCTTCGCTCTTATAAGTTCACCGACGTCTTGTCACACTTGGCACTTTGAATGAGGTAAGACTGGCACACATTGCTCTCCTGACAATGCTGATTACTCGTGACCTTGATGTTAAAGGCCATTGGTCACTGATCACATTGGTGAACGATTCACGATGATTTACTGAGACTACTAAACACTACTACACATTGAGAATGACTCTATTATAAACACGGAGTTTACACGTATTCAGTGGTTAGATAATTAGAACGGTGCTTGCTTTTTGACCCATACTCATGCAAGATCACTCAGGATTTTGGTCATTGATGTTGACTTTGACTGGAACTCCGTACCAGCCACAGACTGTTTATTTCCGGGTGAACTTTTCTCGCATTGTTTTGCATACAATGTGCAAGTGTCCTTCCTAGAATGTAGTTTTAAAACTTTATTTCAACTATAGTAAAACAATTTCTGAATGTAAAATCACAAATTGTTCAAAAATAGATCTATACACTCAAGTATGAGTACAATCATAAAACAATTAGTTTTTTATTTACTTATTGACTCTTACACAATCCCCGGAGGGAAAGAAAATGGTCACAAAGTACAAGGAGAAATATATATATATAAAAAACAAAACAAAAACACAATATACTAAAAAACAAATAACAAATACAATCACTAAATTACTAAATAAAACAAAATCTCTAAAATACAATCTAATATAAAATTACAAAATTGACAGCAGGCATTAAGATGTCAAGTAAGACCCTGCTTCCTGACTTCAAAGCTTTTACTTATGAACTGTGCTA